CAGTTGTTCTGCTGTGTTCTCAGCCCCTATGTCAGAGGGAGGCCAGAAACCAGCACTCTGTCAGTATGCTGAGATCACAGCCACTACACTGATGGAGGTCAGAGCCCACCCTCTCAGGCTGTCTGCTAGGATCTCAGCCTTAGCCTACCAAAGTCAGGTCTGCCCTGGGGTCTTGGGAGGGGCCTTATGATTTCCTAGGTAGGGACATGGGTATGATGCAATTAGGGGAAGCTCACCACAACAGGGAGGCAGGATCCAGCTGCTCTCAGGCCTTCCTGTGTGTTCTTAGCCCCTGTACCAGAGGGAGGCCAAAACCTGGCACTCTGGCAGTGTGCTGAGATTACAGCCACTACATTAATCAACAATAGACTGACTCTTAATTTACATTTTTCTAGTGGACCTGAATTCAAAGAACTCTAGTTCCCCTCCCTATTAGAACCCTCTGTCTCCCAGAACTGCGCTCATGGCTCTCTTTACCTCTCAACCTGTTCAGATGAAGTTATTTGTCTCCTTACCATGTACCAATGGAACTGTCCCTGGAACCCTGTTTGTCCTATTGAGTCCCCATCAGGTCACACCCATAATTTATTCAAACCAATTCTCCAGCTTCATTGGGAAAGTACATATTCAAATTTGGCTCCACTCTTAATCTTTACAGACCATCAAGTCTTTTCATCCCAGGTACCCCATTCATCTTTGGTCTCCTGGTCTTGCCCAGTCTTCACTGCTTTGATATGTTAATTCTCAAGCATACCCACATTTTTTCATATCTTTTCGGGTGGATTACCAAACTGAGGTTACCAAGGAGACACCTAGGTCATCAGACCCAAGAATGCATGGTTTACTAGAGTTAATTAAAAGTTATTAGTCCAGCCTATGTCCTTTAATAAAAATCATTCCCACACACAACCTCAGATCCTATAAGATTTTTGGGCTCTTAATAGTAAAATCAAGGCAACCAAGAGGTAAGCTAAAATAGAAGAATTCTGTTAAAAGAACTGAGAATAAAGTTTAAGTTCTTTAAATATGAAATTAATCCTTGGCAGCTGTGAGAATGACTAGAAAAAAGAAATTTATTTTCATTTTATGTGTGTGAGTGTTTTGCCTGCATGTATGTAGGTGAACCACATGCATGCAATGCCCATAGAGGCCAGAAAAGAGTGTCAGATCTCCTGGAACTCAAGTCTTCACTGCTGAGTCATCTCTCCAGCCCTGTAAAAGAATTTTTTTTTATTTGAGACAGGGTATCCCTGTAACTCCAGCTGGCCTGAAACTCACTATGTAGACCAGGCTGGCCTGGATCTCACAGAGATCTGCCTGTCTGCCTTCTGAGTGCTGGGATTAATGGTGTGTGCCAACATTCCTGACCCAAGAAATTCTTCTTTTCCCTTTTTTATTGAATTTTTCTGAATTTTAGATATTCCAGTCACTTTTATATTCATTCCTGTATGTGCACTCTCCCCTTCATATTTTCCACCTGATTTCATGTACTCTGTTATTTATTAATGGCATCTGTTCCCAGATGCCCTTGTGTACAGATCCATCCGCTGAAACCTAGTTAATCTATCGACTGTCATATACCATTAAAGAAAACTGATTCTCCCACTCCCAGAAACTATCAGTTGCCAGTAGTTTCCTCAGCTAAGTTTGGGGCTGCTTACCCACTTCCCCACTTCTATATTGGGATTTTGCCTGGCTTAAGCTTGCGTGGGTCTTGTGCATGCTGTCACCATTGTTATAAGTTTATTTGAGTAACTGTCTGGAAAACTGTTTCCCTAGGATCATACAACACCTCTGGCTGTTAAAATCTTTCTCTCCCTTCTTCTACAATGGTCACTGAGCTTTGAGTAGCAAAGGTTTGATATAAGAGACATATTCAGGGATAAGCATTCTGCAGTCTCTTATTTTCTGCATTTTGACCAGTTGTGGGTCTCCAGATTAATCACCATCGTTACATGAGGAACTCCTCTGGTGAACACTGAGCTCTATTAATCTGTGGATATAACAAAATCATTAAGAGTCAGTTTAATATTTCCTTTTAGCAGAATATTAGTAGTATGTTCTTTCCTATGGCCTGTAACTTGTCTAGCCGTGGGTTTCTAGGCCTGATGTCAGTGTTAGGTATGGTCTCCATCTTGTGAAGCACTTTCAATCCAATTATAAAGTGGTTGGTTACTCCCATATCTTTGGTGCCACTATTGCATGAGTTGGCATATCTTTAGTCATTTGTTGTAGCTCTCACAATTCACAGCTGGGTAAGGTTGGTGATTACTTTTCTCTTGTGATAGCATGCATAGTACCTTCCAGCACTATGAAAACTAGCCAGTAGAGATGAAGCCTTGAAGTCAGTACTAGGTTGATTTCTCCTGTTTGTTCTACAGCTCATGTAAGTAATATCTTCAGTAGTGGGGTCTTACTGTCAAGTTCTGGTAGGTAACCAAGAGCAGGAGCAATAGCCAAGAAGTAATTTTTAAGAAGGAAGAAGCAAAAGGAAGTATTTAAATCCCTATGGACAAAATTTAGAACATGTGATACTGTTAACCCATCAGCTTAATAAAGTTTTCCTATTCTTTATGTTTCTTTTTTTTTCTTAATGAACAGCAGCCCCACCCCTAAGCATATCTGCTGTAATCACATTGTAAGATTATGCCTATATTTCTAGCCTTTTCTACATGAATATATATGGTGTTTTGGGATGATTTTTATGTTTTTGTAATGATGATTTCTTTGGGGCAAGACTGGCTTAAATAGTTTTTGTCCTTTTCCTTAAGCTTTTCTGCATTATTTGAAGTACTACAGTAAGCATATATGTGTATATTTAACAATTGGTACTTTCTCCTTTCTTAAAATTCTTATTGTCAGTATTTGGTGTTCTAATATTGATTCAGACCTTGATTTTATTCTGGCCCCTATAAAGTATGTTATGGACAATATGTAGTATAAATACCTTTGAGCCATTTATCAATCCTGCTTTACTATGAAAGTCACCATGGTAATTCAGCCCTTTGAGTAGTAGAGTTCCATTTGAATCTGCTTTGCTGCCATATTAATACATCAATTAGGATTAAATTAAAGAAACAGTCTTTCAAGTAAATTAATTCAAGTAAATTAATTAATTAATCAATTCAATAAATTAATTTTTTCAAGCAAATTAATTCAGAGTCTTGGTTACACAGGTGTTAAAGTATCTGGCTGGGAAAGCAAGTTGGAGAGGGGTGATTTTGGAGAACTAGGTAGGCAGGAGGAATAATGCCCAAGAGCCAAATGCTCAGATTTGTTCTGTAGTCCTCAAGCCCAGACCTACTACTACACTTTAGAGCTGCCATCATAGTCAGTCCTGGATGTGCCAGAGAAATGTAGCTTTAATCAAGGATGAACCCATCAAGATGTTGTTAGTCACTGTCTTTTGTTTGCAAATCCACTGAAGCACCTCCTGGCACCTGCCAGCACCTACCAGTACATGTTCTGCCTATTTCTCACTTTTCTGATCATCCTTCCTACACATTGTAGAAATGGAATCTAACAGAAAGCCAAGTGGAAAGGGGATGTAGAAAGTGTAGTCTGTTCACTTATCACCCTGTGCTAAATGTAGCAAAGCAAAAGTGGGATAAAATTGTGGCCTGTGACAGCCCAGTTCACATTAATTGTATGGACACAAGCTATACATATTTATAGTTTCCTGTATTTATAGTTCTTAAGAACTTTAGAATGTATCTGAAGCACTTTTTAATTATCAAAATGTAATTACAAATGAGGTAGGAAAGGCAGCATGACAAATGTTTAATTATACACAATTCTATCCCTAATGAATATGTTATAAATAACCATTTATGACCCCCCCCATGATGAACACTGGTTAGGAATACTGATATTATTATCACACTTAGGATGTATTATTATTTTGACTAGGAAGTGGAACTAGGGATATTAGAGATATTTATTACTTTCTCAGCAAACCTGTGTGCATGTATGTTCATTTCTGATCTATATATCCAAGAGTTGAAGCTCATTATACTAATGTGGAAACACAAAGCTAGTGAACTTGATTACCTGCTTCTTAGAGGAAATATATTTTTCTAGGAAACGTTAATTTAACCATTTTTAAAAATATATAGTTTCTTATTTTATTTAATTAATTAATTTTTAGACAGGCTCTCCCATAGTCCTGGTTAGCCTGGAACTTACTATGAAGACCAAGCTGGCCTCAATCTCACAGAGATCTACCTACCTCTGCCTCCCAACTACTGAGATTAAAGGTGTACCCCACCACGCCCAGCATAATGGTTCTATTTTCTATACTAGAAATTTATGCTCTTTCACACCTCAGTCACAGGATGCCTTCATAAATTTGCTGAGAACCAACCTTTTATTAACAAAGTAAGCCTGACAGCACAAGTGTATCATTAAGGAGAATGAGATCCTCTGCATAAACAATGTGCTTGCTAGACAGATCAGCCTAATACCCACAATATTTCTAGCCTTACTTTCTTCCTAGATTCAAAATCAGAAATTCCCTGTATCTAGATGTGAGGGGAAGTTGAGGAAATGGTCAGTCTTCATTTCTGTAATCATTAGCAACTAAAAGGAAAAGAAAGAACAATTTTCCAAGATCCCACTTATTTCAGCCCCTTCATTAAGAATAGAACACTAGCTACATCTCAGTTCTATTAGGGTAGGTCGACTGGTGGAGCTTGTTTGATAAAAGACATGACACCCCATCTCTGGCTCTAGAGAGAGTATCCTAGCAGAGCATGCAGGAGAGCGAGTTCCTGTTCGCAAAGTTACTTTTCTATTACTCTAAATAAAGATGTGTCCATGGAACTGTGATTAAGCTCTCAGATAGAACTAAAATGTAGTACAGTCTTTCCTTCTTCTGCTTCCTTTGTTGTTCTTGTCATTAGAAATGTCTTGTCTCATAAAATTGTAATATAATCATGTTTTGTGTTGTCATTTTATCTTGTAGTTCTCTTTAAGATATTATGTATATTTATATATTTCAGTGGGAGAACTGAAGTCCAGTCAGTTCAGTATGGCAAAGAAAAGGCAAATAAAGACAGGGTATTTGCAAGGTAAGTCAATTCTGTTTTCATATCTGAGGATGTGTTTGGGATTTTTTGTGTGTGTGCCTGTGTGTATGTTCGTATGTGTCTTTGCACGGAGGGGTTGGTGGGAGGGGTGACTGGCTGGTAAACACATGCCATGTTGGGCATGTGGAAGTCAGAAGACAACTTGCCAGAATTAGTTCCCTCTTTCTATCATGTGGGTCCCAGAGGTTGAACTCAGGTCAGACTTGGCAGCAGGCACTTTTACCCATGTGCCATCTCACCATCCCAGTGTCTTGACATTTGTTTTTTTGTTTTTAATAAACTTTTTAAAAATTTATTTTATGTGTGTTTTGCCTGCATGTATGTAAGTGATATACAATGTCCATGGATTCCAGAAGGTGATGAATCCACTGAAACTAAAGTTACAAATGGTTGTTAGCCACCATGTGGGTGCTGGAAACTGAACCTGGTCTTCTGGAAGAATAATCAGTGTTCTTAACCACTGACTCATCTCTGTAGCCCCAACATCTGAGTCTTCAATTTATTTTATTTTTATGTGTATGAGTGTATTGTCTGCACATATGTGAGTGCACCATGTCATGCAAAGCCCATGGAGGCCAGAAGAGGGTGTCAGATACCCTGGAGCTAGAGTAATGGATGGTAGTTCTCTACCATGTAGGTACTGGGAATCGAACCCAGTCCTCTGCAAAAGAAGCCAGTGTTCCAAACCACTGAGCCATCTCTCCAACCCATCTGAATTTTTTGAAATGATAAAACATTAGAAATGTTTTCTTTAAGTATAGATTACGTCAAAGAAATGTAAACTTAGTTTGTCTAGTTTCCTGAATCTTTAATAATTTATTTTATCATTTTTGTTTTTATGTATATGAGTGTATGATCTGCCCATCTGTATGTGCACCTGTGTTGTGCAATGCCTGCAAGGTCAGAGTGAGCATCGAATTCCCCTGAAACTGAAGTTAAGGATGGTTGTTAGCTGCCATGTGGGTGTTGGGAGTCAAATCTGAGTCCTCTGCAAGAGCTCTTACCTGCCAAGCCATCTCTCCAGTTCCCCATTTCTATTTTTAGAAATATTTTAGTTTATTTTGTGTGTATAATTATATTGCCTGCATGTATATAAGTGTACCGTGTCATACAATGCCCTTGGGGTCAGAAGAGGGCTTTGGATCCCCTGGAACTAGAGTTATGGACTGTTGTTAGCTGCCATTTGGGTGCTGGGAATTGAACCCAGGTCTTATGAAAGAGCAGCCAGTGCTCTTAACCACAGAGACATCTTTTCAGTCCCTGCCCCCATTTTTATTTTTCAAGTTAACTAATTATTTTTTAAGTCAGGGTATCACTGTGTAACCCTGACTGGTACGGAACTTGATGTGTAGACCAGGCTGGCCTCTAATTCCTAGAGATCCACCTTCCTCTGCCCCCCTAGTGCTGGGATTAAAGATATGCACCATCACTCCCAGCTATATATTTCTTTAAATCATACTGTTAAAAGACAGATAAGTTGCTTTTGATTTGCCTTTTAATATCTTCCTTTTTCTAGAATTTGTTAGGGTCAGTTTGCTTTTTTAATGAGTGAAATGGCATGATCAGATTTATGTTTTAGAAAAGTGATGAAGGGAAGCTGGAGAGATGGCTCGGCAGTTAAGAACACTGGGTTTGAATTCCAGCACTCACATGGCAGCTAACAACTGTCTGTAATTCCAGTTCCAGGGAATCCAACAGCCTCTTCTGTCTTCCACAGGCATTGCCCAACATGGTTGCACTTACATACATGCAGGCGATATACACATACACATAAAAATAATAAATAAAATACTTTTTTAATTTAAAAAAAAAGAAAAGTGATGAAGGATGGAGAATGGATTAGTACAGCTTGGGTACCTAGTGATCAATTCAAAGATAATTGTAGTAATCCAAGTAAAAATAATAAAGACCTGAACTAAAATATTGAGAATACAGAACAAAGATAAGCAAGCTCTAGCATTAGCTGTTCACCCATTGGATAGAAGCATATTAAAACAGGAATTTGTTCTTGGTGAAAATTATTTAGAGATGATAAAGCCCTAAAGAATTATGTGCTTGGCGTCTATTGCTATTAGAGCCTTGAGAGTTTTCATAAAGATAACAAATAAGTTTTACTTTCTCTTATTTTAAATCCAAAAGTCCTTTCTGCTTTGTGTTTCTAGAAGAAAAAGTTTTGTATTTTTCTTTTTCTTTTTTCTTCCCTCCAAAGTAGAAGTTGCTCCTTTTTTCTAGTAATAAATGATAGCTACTATGTTTTTAAATTCCTATAGTGTCAAATAACTTGAAGCCGTCATTGAAAGATAACCCTTTACAAACTTTGTGATATTTATTCAAGATTTTTCTACACTCAGGGGTTTTTTTTATATATATATTTGTTTCAGAATTGTTTCATTGGTTTTTTTTTATCACACATTTTATGTTGAAAAACTAGTCATTTATAATGGCAAGAAGTCTATAAATAATTAAATTTTAATCATAAAATGTAGATTCAACTCTAGTGTTCTTCCTATTAACCCATCTTTTCCCTGTTCCAAGGGAAGTATCCATTGCTGAGACTATTTGAAAATGTCACAGTAATATGTCCTAAATACATCTAAGAATACAATGACTTCTCAAGGAAAAAGAACGTTTGAAACAAAAACTACTGAAACATAATTTTTAAAAATATTTTATTTATTATTTTTATTTTATGTGTATGTGTGTATTGCTTGCATATAGGTAAGTGCACCCGTGTCATTCAGTGCCTGCAGAGGACAGAAGAGACTGTCAGATCCCCTGGGACAGTAGTTATGGACAGTTGTTAGCGGCCATGTGGGTCCTGGGATTCGAATCTGGTCTTCTGCAGGAATAGTCAGTGTTCTTAACCACTGAGCCATCTCTCCAGCCCCTCAAACATGATTTTTTTGTGTGTTTAGTGGTAAGATTTACTTGTAGTTTTTCTTTATTCTGGGATTACTTTTATTCCTTTCTGTCTATGAATAATTTTCACAACAGGAAAACTGTTAGTCATATCTTGAGGGCTAGAGAGATGGCTCAGCAATTAAAATGCTTGCTGTTCCTGCAGAGGACTGGAGTTTGGTTATCAACACCCACACTGGGCAGCTCACAATTACCCTTAACTCCAGCTTCAAGGAATGTGAAGCTGCCTTCTGACCTCTGTGGACACCTGCACAACAATGCACCCCCTAACCAGAGACACATACATACGTATACATAATTACAAATAAAACAAAATTTTTTGTTGTTTGTTTGAGACAGGATCTCACTTTGTAGCCCTGGCTGACCTGGAACTCACTATGAAGAGCGATCCACTTACCTCTGCTTCTTTAGTGATAGAATTAGTGCACCACCATGCTTGGCCCATAAATTAAATCTTTAAAAAACATGCCTTAATAGTGAAAAGATTCAGTTGGCTCAGTAATATTTTCTTGGAACAAATTTGCTTGAATTTGAATGTTACAGTTTATTTCCACATTTGTTCAAAAGCTTTTATTTTAAAACAGGTTTGTTTATTCAACAGCAGTGGTACATTTAGAATTATAGCAAAAAACAAAACAAAACAAAAAAACAAAAAAAAGAATTATAGCCAACAGTGAAAATAAGCAAGTTTCTCAGTATTTTCAAATTTCTGGCATGTCACTCCTTGAGATTCAGGGACAATAAATCAGTATTCTCAGGAAGTCTCAGAAATTTCATGTCTGTGGTTATTTTAAACATACTTGTAACAATCTTTACACTATTATTATATGGGCTGTTAACTGACTA